GCAACTTGAACTACTCTGGGGATGAATGACCCCAAGTATTAACATTCACACCGCACGACATAAGTAATATAGGAGCGGTGGGATTAAGGAATGTCATCCTGGATAACTTAGGTATGCCACCGTTTTACTTCTGCGAAAGGGATGATTGCTGAACCTTAGAACTTACATAGGTGATTTGCTGCTCGTGTCGCTGCGCGGCAAACACGTTTTCACAAACCCTATATGCTGTTGACAGGGTTTACGAGGCTATCCAAGACGTTAACAGGATTTTGCACCACAATGAACGCAAACTTCATCCTTACCATCCCCTATCATGTCCACCAACAATCCTCGACAAAGAAGAGCTTCTGAGTTCCGAAAAACTGCAATAACTGTCCTTGGTGGAATATGCACGATCGTGTCTGCTGTTATAGCCGTACGAAGCACTAATCCTGCGATCACGGTATTTTCGGTAGTTTCTGGAATCGCAACAATCTGGATTGCTTTCTCGTAAGTCATCTGTGTATGTGATTGACCACCAATTTTTCAACGTTTGCCGCAGACCCGCTGTGAAAACCTCACTCTTTCGGACGACTCGCAAGATTTTCAGATTTGTGGTAAGACGCATGGTTGAGTTGCCAGACCCTAGACGAGATGTTGAGCTTGGAGTCATGGTAAGCGGGCACGTGGTACCAGCATGGCAAGAGCCTGAGGTGCGTTTTACCACTCCGCATGTCCGAAATGCCTATTGCGGAAACACTGCCAGCTTGCTGAAGGCGGGCGACGAACACGCTATAGCCAGCTTCCAAAGTGGATCATTGATAATGATGCAATGACTGATGTGCATATTATCATAGCCTATACTGACAACGAGGCCATTTCGAATGAGGCCGGTAACGCCCATTGCGTTACCTCGTCGCCCCGTCAAGGTTGAGCAGCATTTAGTAGACCCGGAAACGTCTTCAACCCTGGCTACTGCATCTAGTTCAAGCGTCATCTCGGAGAATGAGGAAGAGCAACCAGACTTTCGCTCATCAGCAGGGTACGTAGAATTGCAATACTTCAGCCGTCATAATCTTTTATCCACCCTACGACTTATTAGGGACCCCTTGAGCTCGTATACATTACTTTCATCGCCAAGATTCACCAGATCCCCACTGTCACGGCTTTATCGGCCAGGTGTGGTGTTTGCACAGCGGCCGGGATCACCGTCAATTTCTCCAAGTAATAGTCTGGATCTAGACTCGCGTGGCCAGTACCGTACTGTCGGTTCGGTTTTTGCAGCTGTTTACGAATCCCTAGCAATTTTTTGCGAAAATCAGTCCTCTTGATGGTATTTACATCCAAACAAAGAGCTCCACCCGGCCAGGGTGCCGACCCAGCGCTTGTCTGGCGCTCGCAGCAGTCGCATTCACAGCAGCCAACCGTACATAGACTATATACCACCACCAGAGTCACAAGCTATGATATAGGATAAAATGGACATGCTATCTAGAATGTCATCGACGCTGCTCCCGTCAAAGAAGCCGATAAGAATAGGCGGCAGAGCTTCAGCGACAGAGTCGGTCAATGGCCCGGTCGGTAGGTAGCTAGTCAATAGCTAGTGTATAGATTTCAAGAGATAACGATTCAATTTCTGTGACAAGGGCTGCAGTGAGATGAAGACTTCGACATGGGAGTTGGTGAGGAAATTATTGACAATGACAATCATCATTCAACTGCTCAAGCAACTGCTGAAGCGCTGGACAAGCGCCGGGTCGGCGCGCCTGGCCGGGTGGAGCTCTTTGTTTGGATGTAAATACCATCAGGAGGACCGATTTTCGCAAAAAATTGCTAGGGATTCGTAAACAGCTGTGATGGTTGGAAATTCAGGCAGCAAACCGACAGAAGAACCTCTTCTACCTTTACCTCATTCCCCTTTTGGAGAACGGCTGGACCCGAGCCTAGTCTGAATCTCACACCGCCCACACCGCCCACACCGCTCACACCGCTCACACCGCTCGCACCGCCCACCCTTGGCGCTTGGCTCAGAAACCAATCGAATTCGACACCTCCGAGTCCAAACATTGACATCGAGCTAGTATGTGAATCGTCCATTGCTTGGATAATTGGAAGTTTAAGTAAATCTGATGTCTATTCCTAGCCTTCATACTCAGATTACTCTCGCGCCGTCTCCCCGATCATTCTCACCCCCGATGACACGAACGGTCCTAACCCCCTCCAGGAGGCGACGAGGAGCATACCACCTTGGATTTCGTCAACATACACAGGACTACCGTGGGGTTTCGTGCCTATGACCCTCGAGCCAGTCCAGCCTCCAGATGTACCACTATCTGAGACCCAGGCCCCAGTCCCAATAGTCAGCGCAGATGTCGATGAGGATCTACTACTATCCCCAAATATGCTGGGGCTGAAGATGTTCAATGACAACATTCCTGGCTCCTGAGGCCTGGGGTGTGGGACTTGGGAGTTCCTGTATATATATATGTACTCGTCTTCCGCTACTATGTACCCATTTCAATTTCCCCTTTCACTGCGTGTACATTCAACATAGCAAACCTGTTTGTGATAATCAAATCAACTCCCACAAACAAAAAAGTGATCATTTGCAACCTGTTCTTCGCCAAGGTGCTACCAGGGTTCGAACCTGGGTTTCGGGAAGATTTACATGAGCGCACTCCCAGATGGCATGCATCAAAATCCCGAGTGATGACCACTACACTATAGCACCGTGCTCTGGACGTTCAGTCATATTTAAATAGTAGAATCGCATTACATAGGATCTAAATAGCGCTAGCTCAAATAACTGGAATACACATAAAACATTCTACTCTTCATCACTCTCCGTCTCATACTCATCTTCCTCATCTTTCTCCTTTGCCTTACCCTTACCACTCCCATTCCCATTCGGGCTCCCTCTCCCACTATTCCCATTAACAAGTTCAACAACAACCTGCCCAACCTCTCCCAACTCCCCCATCCTCACCATCCCATACGGAATCTCTTTCCTCGGATACGCAGTAGCCAACGTAAACCCCCACCATTCCTTCGTCTCCACATCCTGCGCCACCAGACCCTTCAACGTCTTCTCAAACTCCCCTTCTTTACTCGGCGCAGCCACTCCCAAAGCAGACGACGAAGGAGAAGCAGGGTGCAACTGCGTATCAACAAACGCATACAACACTCCAACTCCATCTTCCTTCCTAAACCTCCTAACGACTCTCGTTCCAGACGGTAATCTCACCGCAACTCTCACATCTCCGCTTTCCGCGGGCAGGTACGCCCTCAACCACTCTCTAACACCAACTCTCCTCTTTCTCTTCTCCTCCGCCTCCCTTTCCTCTCTCTCTCTCCTTTCTCGTTCCTCTACCTCGCGCCGCTTCGCCTCTTCCTCCGCACGCATCTTAGCAAGGATACGTTCTCGGTCCCTCAAAGCGGCGGCTTCGAACGCCCGATCTTGTTCCTCCCTAATCCGCCTCTCCTCACGACGCTGAGACTCCTCGAGATCGCGTTGCACAGCCAACGTCTCTCTAGTTGTCTTTACACGCGCCAGATACGGCTTCACCCTCGGAAGCAACGTTTCCTGGAGATGCGTTACGAGTTTCTCGGGTGTACATGCTTCGGCGCCTTGGTGTCGAGATAAGATGGACAGCGTGGGTTCTGTCGAGCCGCGCGTGGAAGAAGAGGAGTTGGAAGAGCTGGTGGAGCGGGATGGTTGCAGGCCTAGGAAGGCGATGTATGGGAAGGACGTGACGTTTAACTTGAGCGAGGCGGTAAAAGCGTATGTATCGCGGGTGTCGCCGCCCCAGATGACGATATCGTTTTGGGTGAGCGTGTCGATGAATGTTGGGTTGGTTAGGGTGTTTCTGTGGTCGGCGTCAGCTCTCTTGTTCGTGGTAGTGTAGAAACGAGAGAAAAGAGAGAAGGAAGAGTGAGAAAAGAAAAGACATACAATTTGAACGCCGCTACATCATCATGCTCTTCACTAACCAACACAACACACCCAATCACCGCTTCCTTTCTTAAATGCCCCAAGAAAGCGTCGTACGTCCCAAACGTAGCAAAATCAGGGAGGTGTTTACCTCCTTCCCCCGCCCCACTTCCATTGATGCTCCTCAACGTGGCAGTCGAAGGCCCTGCGATACCGCTGGATAGACCAGTTGCAGACGCAGCTGCTTTGGATAAACAGATGGCACCGGTTTCTTCTTCGAGCTCACGTATCCAACGCTCTGGCGTCCCACGTCCCCGGGGAGAGAAATTGGGACGACGTGAGAGGAGTGGGATGTATAGGTTTGGAAGAGGAATACGTAGGAAGTTGAAGATGAGCCGAAGGAGAGAGGAGAGTAGGGAGAAGGGGTATGTTAGGATTGATAGGAATGTGTTGTTTGAGTTGGGCTGCGGCTAAATGTGGTGTTAGCTGACGATGTAGGTTGAAAGGGCAAGAAAAACAGAACGTACGCGAGCACTGGAATTGGACCCAGGAAGCAAAGCGCCCTGTTCAGAATCGTCTATATCAAACTCTTCTATCCTTCGTCGTTCTCTTGGTTGCTCCGGCTCTCTTGGTCTTGCGGTACCCAAACCCGCACCCGACCCCGAGCCCAAGGAGCCCCCGCCGAATATAACCTCAACAGCCCTCTGCACATCCCACTGCACACTCTCCAATACCTCTCTTAACCTATCCACATCCGAGTCGTCTGTATTGGTGAGCTCTCGGAGTTGAGTGAGAGCGTGTGTTTGGGGAGGTGTTAGGTTGGGCGTTGACATACGTGTTTATGTCGTCGTGCTTCTCCTCTTTGCGTTTTCTTTTTAGTTTTTATATTCAAGTTTGGGGCCTTGCGTCAAGAAATGTCTTCTCCAATTAGGCGAGTAACAAAGAAAGAAAAGTCGACCCGAGCGTTGTGGTGGTGGTCCAGCAAGAAGCGCGGTGCCGTGCGGCGGGCGGTGTATCTGGGCGGACGAATGACGCGTGTCCGGCTGTGCACATCCGCTATAGCAGCGCAGGCAGCATCTCTTGACGAAGAGGTGCTATAGTGTAGTGGTCATCACTCGGGATTTTGAAGCTTTTCATAAGCATCTATGTAATACTTCCCGAAACCCAGGTTCGAACCCTGGTAGCACCTAGTCACTTGGAGTGTGAAATTTTGTTGCGGACGGTTGGGGCTCAAATGGTCACAGCGTGAAGTGGAACATTTCCCTTACAATTTCCGGTCCTTTGGGTGTTCTCTCGTGTGCCAAACACTTGTAGTCTGTATAATATTCACGGACTTGGGGAAAAAATCTTGTCGATGGTAACAGCGTGACAGCTAGAAGCCCTTAGAAACTCGAAGTACAAAGAAACATCAGTGCCATCCGATAAATACGCACTGTTCCCCTCAGAAAGATCAGACATTGTCAGCATTCACCGAGTGGCATTATATGTAATTAGATTATTTCTAGGACTTGAATAATCTACGGTATCCAGTTCGCTGTTTCAATTGGTTTCAAGTTCCATGCAATCCACATCCTCTTTGAATTCCTCAACGATATGTAGCACTTCTTCCGGAAGTCTACCGACATCTAACAGAATAGTAAGCTGAGATGTCAAAAAAGAAACTGTGGAGAAGCCACTCACCTATATTTGGGGCGTAGTGGTCAATCTCATACCAGAACCGAAACATATCGATATATGATTCGCAGAAAACCTTCTGCATCCTCGGCGAATTACGGTAGAGAGAAGGCTTGTAACTGATAATTCTTCGAATTTGCTCTGTGATTGATCGCAAAGGTCCCCTCACTACTTCGAAAAACATATAGCCTCTTTGACCACCCTGTGGAACATTAGCGATCTAGATTCCTATGAAGATGGCATTCCTACCTCTATTACCACCCTAATAGCGCCCAAGATCACAGCACGTGGCTCGCGCGCAGAGGACACTGAGGCCTCATTAACATTGACTAAGTGGTCTGGCAGGGAACAAGACACTGTACCTAGATTATCCACGATCGTGATATACTTTTCCAACGCTTGGATGACGTAGCGCAGTGTGCGAGCAGCCCCTCTACTCAACCTGTGCCTCCTATCCCTGTACGAAGTCCGAGTCAACACTCCTTCCTCCTCTAGCTCATTTTCCAAATTTCGGACAAGTCTGTCAAGGATATCGGGTGTTGTTGAGGAGCCTAACTGTACACATTTGATGAAGAAGTCACGTAAATCCTGATCTTCCGAAAGCCCTTGGACATAGTCCCGTAGAGCGCGGTGAAATGTGCTTGACTTTGAATCATCTTTTATATTGATAATCAGAGGCCAAGATGATGGTTGGTATTCCTCAACAGCCACTGGTGAGTTTGAGTGTGACTCCCCATTCAGGGGAGTGCCTGGTCCCCAGATTGCTGGTGATGATTCCGAGGCACGAACAATGGCTAAGGATTGGGCCATCATGGGCCTCATTCGAAAGGGCCGGTTTACGGATACACGCTAAAGTATATCATTTCGGTATCAAGGTTCCGCACAGATTCAACTAGAGCATACCTCTTCCCTTGCTGAGGACCTATGGCCGCCTTCCGTTACTTCAAGTACTCCAAGTTCGATATCTTGTTCAGGGGTTGGCAAGTTAAACACTCGTTTCACCACAAACCTAAAATGCTTGCGAATAATTCGGCGAGAAAAAATCTTTGCAGAGTGTCTAAGAAGAGTAGCCATTTGAAAAACGCAGAGAACGGTATATATGTAAAGCGAACTCACGGGAGAGCAGTCCAAACCGTCGCAATACCTGAAATCACCGATAAGACAGTAATAGCCTGATTGGTGCTTTTTACAGCTATGAGAGCAGACACAATCGTGCATATCCCACCAAGGATTGTGATTAATATCTTTCGAAGACTGGAAGCTCTTCTTCCCTGGGAATCGCTGGTGGACATGATGGGGGGTGGTGGGCAGGAGCTCTTGGATGCATGCAATGTCCTGTTAAGAATAGCGAAACAACGTTGAAGCCTCATGTCATGGGTCGCTGAACGTCAACATCAATTGGCGCTACGATAACCGCCTCTGCCATTGAGGAGGAACCTCATGGTCCTGACTCCTGACAGGTCAAACATTACTGCTCAAATGACCGTTGGCCAGTGCTATAGCCCAAGTATTTATATGTTTCGGTGCCTGTAGAAAAGACGTTAGCTCCAACACGATAAGAGAGCTGCTGTGTGATACCAATTCCATGCTTCTGACTCTCGGATTGATCAATTTACTACTGAACGATTGACGCCCGAATGTATACAGCACAGTACGACATCCGTCGAAGGGAGCCAAAAAGTGACAATGTCCTCAAAACTCGGTACATCTCGCCTAATAACTAGATCATTATAAGATTAATACGTTTCTGGTGTGTCCGGGTCTCTGCCTATAACCTATTGACGTATCGATAGCGAGAGGCGAGGTGGTTCTTGTTGGGTGGTCAGTATCTATAAGCGTAGTTTGAGCATGAATATTTGGTAACGGCCCAATGTTAAAACTGACCAGGTAGTACTGGATTCATGTCGTCGCAAAACATATTTGAGTATGCCGACTAAACTCTGAATCAGTGTTCAACCTCTTGCCACATATGTTACACGGATGCTTTGGCTTATTCGATTCGCCTCTGTGGAGGCGGACGTGATCTGCATTTTATGAGCATTTCGGCATGATATTAACCCAAGAAAACGACATACAACCGATATAGTTCGGAGAGGTACGGTTTGACTCGCAATTTGGTTCATTGCAGAAGTAGTAGACGGCACGAATGGGTGAGTTGGTCTGAGAAGGTATTAGGCTGTGTCGTTACGAATCGTCGACCAGGAAAAGTTGCACCTCGGCTGGAGATAACAGCTCATCTGCTCTTCCAAGAGCCTCCAAGTCGCGCTGCAGATCTCCAACGTCACATACTTGAGGGGGCTGTTCGTAATCATCGATGCTATCATTCAGAGCGAACGGAGGGCATAGCACGGTTGGATTTTGTGTTCGTGCTCGGGGTCGGATGCTGAATGGTCGGGTTCTGCGTGTTGGCTGGAAAAAATAGATATTAGCACCTCATTGAGTATAGTAAAGACATGTTCGGTTGCACCTCCGAGTGTGACAAATCTCCTGTTCTTCTTCCAACGTCTCCGGCATCTCCAAGTTCAACATCTCGCTTGTATGTGTATTTCGCCGAAAATCTGAAGAGATCTCTAATAATACTGTACGTAGAATATAGCTTGAACGCTCTTTGGATATGGCATGTCAACGGAGATCTTCAAAAGAAACAGCTCGGAAAAAAAACTCACTGTGAGGGAACTCCACTCCAAATTGTCGCAAGCCCAGAAACCACCGTCAGAACAGTAACTATAGGGTTATTATCCCGTATAGCTACAATGGCAGCTACCACAGTGCATATTCCACCAATGACAGATATGAGGATTCTTCGATAACTGTGTTCTTTCAACCTAGGAAAGGGGAGCATGACGAGGTGTCGAATGTAAAGGCTTGTGGCAATGTAGAGAATGGAGCACACTGCATAAAGATCATATGCATGAGAGAAAACTACCGGATGGAAGAGCACATTGGGGGAAGGATGTGGATAAGGCGCTGCTCATCGTCGTGGGCGTTGGATAACATCATTGATCGTGGTGCCAAGCAACGTTGCGGCTGCAGAACCGACCGGCCCGACCCGGAGTCGGATTTCCACTTGCTCTCGACGCTCATGTCAGTCACAGAGAGTACATTTTCCTGATATTTTCCAACTCGCTTTGATGGAAGGCAGCTACAGAAAACACGGCACTTACAAACGCAGCAACTCGTTTTTACCATGCCGAGCGAAAACGCGTATCTTCTCGGCAGACAACTCTCACTTTCGTCCTCTTCTTCTGACCCCATTAATGACTGCATGCCATGTTCAGAACAGGATGTCTAATTCATCCTCACCTTTGAGTTTATCCTCGTTCGCCAAGGGTTACGGTGACCACAATCGCCAAGTTCACGGAGTTCAACAGCGTAATAGGATACCAACGTATTCGTACTAACACTACCAAGGGCTCTTCGCATTCCGTGGATCTCGAGGCCGAGTCATACTTCCTCAACATTTGGGAAAGAATCCCCGATGAATGGTCGCCACTTTATAGCCCTCGACAACTATCGCACTGGCTTCGGTGAGTAACACGATTAAGTCTTATCTTCCACCCCCGAATCTTAGATGAATCACTTTCAGAGTGCACTCATCATCATTTTGATCTAATTTTACCCCAGCAGCGGCAGCAAAAACGGAGGAGAAACTGACAAAAGCGATGATTCCTCAGAGGCAGCGTACCCTTTTGAAGGAGACTTCCATGTATTTCAGTGGTGGTATCGTCATATCGGCCTTTGGTACGTCTCTTCTGACTCCTTAGTAATGCTGGTGAAATTAAATCTGGGATTTTTAGCGGCTTGGGGTATCTTTTCTCTGATGAGCGTGGCGAGGGCAACGAGAAGGTACCCTTGTAGGTCTAGCAAGTCATCGCTCATGCCATCTCGTTGATTCACATAGGGCTCGTCATGAGTCTCGGATCGTCCAACAACGCAATTTGACATGTGGGCCAATAAAATCAGATTGAACAATACAACAACCTCCGAGAAGGCACATTCAACTCCGGAAAGTACTCTGGAGAAACACTTGCGGTGGATAGTAAGCTTCTCCTCATTTTCCTTGAATTACAACTATCAAACCTCATTCAACAGGGCCCAAACGTCGGCCAAGCTACCTTCATCGCTCCCCTATGGATTCTAAACCCAGCGTTCGTCGCTCGTGGTATCATGTGTTCTTTGGGCGTAATCGGTTCCGTGAACTGCACTCACGCAACCGTCAGGTACGCACAGTTCGGATTCGCAGTGTTGCCACCACGATCTGAAATACTACTCCAACGATAGGAACATGAAGGTCCTCCAAGCCATGCTACAATGCTCACAAGACTTCGTACTCAGTATGCTCATAACGACCGGTGCAGGATGGGTATTCTTGCCGCCTGGGTTGAGAGCAGCGACGACTGTCGAAATGAGTTGCATATGCGTAGCAGGAACTTGGCTGGGTTCATCTCCGTATGATCAGTGATGATATCGATACGTCGCGCTCAACGTTTTCTTTTTGGGTCAGTATTGGAAGGT